CTGCAGTCCTGCCCAGCTGACCCCCCTTTTCCTATGGTTGGCTGGGGTTGGGTAAGATGCAGATGCGGCTGCAGGTTTTTTGGCTGCATAGAGTCTGTTCGAGCGCCGTGACCTTGGACTGGAGCCCGCGTCTTATCTTCGGACTGAGCTGAGAGCTGAGGCGTTGAGTTAACCCGTTCTCTGCTTTCTTCCTCCCCCTTTGGCCTTTTGCAACCTGCAAAGGAATTTTTTACTTTACACTTACACCTTCAACCCTTCCCGAAATGCCTTGCAATGCTTGCATCAGAGTTAGCAACATAAATGCTGATTTGCCTCCCCAGGTGACCCCCTGAGGGAGGGGGCCATTGGATTATGACAGTAGTGTGCACAAAAATTGATGTGCCATCAATCTTATGGTGGAAAGTTGCTATGTCTGAGAGATTTACCCTGACTGAGCTAATAGAGAGCTCTGATCTCCTAAATTCAACCAGGTAATCCAGAATCAAAGGTAAGGGTGCAGATACTGATGATGTCTGCATCGTGCGACACCAGGAATCAAAACGTCTCCATTTGTTTAAGTGTGTGTGGTGGGTAGTCAGTCTGTGACTATTTAATAAAATGTTCTGTACTTCTTTGGAGCATGTCATTTCAGGTCCCTGGAGCCATGGAGCAATCATGCTTTGAGGCAGAGTGTCTCCAAGTTCAGGAGCAGGATTCATCCTGGTTCCTGGGACAGGAGACGAGGTAGGAGGGAAAGGGTGAGAGGTCTGCATGCTGACATTCTGAGAATGTAGGGGAACCATGTTTGATGAGGCCATTTGGGGGCTATCAGTATTACTGTGGCTTTGTCCTCTTTGATCTTGTGAAGCATGTCTTATTAGGGGAATGTGGGGGAAGGCATATAGAAGGGGAGTGTCCCATTTGATAAGAAAGGCGTCTCCCAAGGAGTGAAGGCCCATTCCGTCCCTGGAGCAAAACAGTGGGCATTTGGTATTGTGCTCTGTTGTGAAGAGGTCTACTGTGGGGAATCTCCACTGTTTGAATACGTTGTGGAGAAACCTGGTGTCGAGTTCCCACTTGTGGTCCTGAGAAAAGTTCCTGCTGAGTGCATCTGCTGTAGTGTTTTGATATCTGGGCAGGGAGGCTGTTACAATGTGGACGTTGTGCAGGATGCACCAGTGCCAGTCACATGGCCTCTGCACACGGAGTGTGAGCGTGCAACCCCTTGTTTGTTTATGTAAAACAGGGGTCGGCAACGTTCGGCACACGGCTCACCAGGGTAAGCACCCTAGCGGGCCGGGCCACTTTATTTACCTGCTGACGCGGCAGGTTCGGCCGATCGCGGCCCCCACTCGCCACGGTTCGCCGTCCCGGGCCAATGGGGGCGGTGGGAAGCCGCGGCCAGCACATCCCTCGGCCCGCGCCACTTCCCGCCGCCCCCATTGACCCGGGACGGCGAACCGCGGCGAGTGGGGGCCGCGATCGGCCGAACCTGCCGCGTCAGCAGGTAAATAAAGTGGCCCGGCCCACTAGGGTGCTTACCCTGGTGAGCCGTGTGCCGAACGTTGCTGACCGCTGACGTAGAACATGCATGCTAAATTGTCTCTGAGAATTTGTATGGTTTTGTTTCTGATCATGGGTAGGAAATTTGCACATACATTGTGAATGGCTCTTAGTTCTAGTAGATTTATGTGAAGTCGGGCTTCTGTTGGGGACCAATGGCCCTGAGCAGAGTGCAAGTTCAGATGTGCTCCCCAACCTACGAGGGACGCATCCGTCGTAATAGTCAATGTTGGGGGGGCAGGGGGGGCTGGGTGAAAGGCACTCCTAGGCATACGTTATGTGGTTGTGTCCACCAGGATAGCGAGTCTTTTACTTTGCTTCGCATCGTGAGGTATTTGTTTATACTGTGCCTTCGTGGGGAATAAGTTGTGCAGAGCCAAACTTGTACAGTTCGCATCTGTAACCCCCCGTGTTGCAGGAACATAATATTTCCTGTTGGACCTTTCTAGGTTGGAACGATTGTTGTAGGGGCCTGCCAGATGTGTTTGACGGGTTCCATGATTGCATCATTCATGGGTAAAGTGATTTTAGATGATGCTGATGTTTGCAGGATGTCAACAAGCTTATGTCATGTCTCCTGCACTTCCCACAGTGAGATGTCAAGGGAATCTGCAACTCTCTTATAGAGATCCTGGAAATGTATAAAGTCATTCCCCAGGTGGGGAGGAGGGGGCATGATGGTGTCGTCTGGGAACGATGAAAAAAAATGGGTTGTTGTTTTGACCTCCTGGTCAGAGATTTCTTCCTGTTCTCCCGTCATCTCATCAGGGGGCTCAGATGGTCCTGTTACTGACGGCACAGGTGACTGCCGTGTACCCTCCCTGTGTGGGCTAGGAGGTTTGAGGTGGTGAGGGGGATATGCCAACCAGGGGGCCCAATACTGCCACTGTGGAGGGAAGGGAATAGGTGCCATCCATGGGTGCCCATACTGCTGCTGTTCTTTGGCCCATGTATAGTACCCCTTTTGTGGTAGGGCCGGTTTGATTGTTTTGCAGGCGGGGGAAGAGTGATGCGAGGGATATGTCTCTTCCTCCGTCCTCCTCATTGCTCAAAAATGGGGGAGCAGTAGTCGGTGTAGTGGTGGGACGGCTCAGTACTGAGAATGCTGTTGTAATCTCGGTGCCAAGAATGGGAGAGTCAGGTGTTGAGGACACCCTGAGGTCTCTGGGAAGTAAGAACTGTTGTGGTGTCGACAGCCTTGATGCAGTTGATGTGGTAACAGTGGTTACTGGCTGCTGTGGAGCTGTTGTCTCTATGGGTGCAACTGTCAATTGCGCAATGCTGACAGGAGGTGGCAGCATAGGCTGCAGTTGTTTTCATGTGCCCAGTGCCGAGTGTCAGGACGGCTCTGCTGTTGCGGAGGCATGGGGTTTCAGTTTCTCCTGGGTGCCTGCATTGGAGCTAGCTCTCTTGGAGTCTTTAGCTCTCGCGGTATCCACGGTACCAGAGGTTCCCGCTATCTCGGCTGTGGAGCCTGTCAGTACCAACGAGGTCTCTCGGTTTGGGAAACGCTATTTCTTGGTCAGTTCCTGAGTCGGTGAGGACAGCATACGCTTCTTAGCCACCTTTTTATCTGGGTGGTCTGTCACGTGAGTCACAGACAAAGAAGAGCCTGTCAGAGGCTGCAGTCGGTGAACTGTGTCTCAGGGGTGTGTGTGTTTCTGGTTCAGATGCTGTCCGGAGAGACTTCTCCATGAACAGCAGTTTAAGCTGCAAGTCTCTGGCTTTCCTGGTCTGAGCTGTCAGTTTATGACAATGAGGGCACTTTTGAGGCACGTGTCCGACACTGGAATCGATAGCCTACAGGTGAGGCTACAGATGAGGCAGTGTTTAAAGCCTGGAGAATCGGTCATGCCCCTGAGGGGAGAACCAGGAGTATCGGTTCAATGAAAACCTATTTCTATTCAGGAAACAAATAAGGGTGTTTTTTTTTTTTTTAAATAACGGGGATAAGGAAACGAAAGGAGTTAACTATCTATAACAAAACTAGAACTAACTGCGGTATACTATGCTAACTAAGCTCTGAGGAGCTGCTGAATGCTCCGACTCGTAGCCAAGGGCGGTAGAGAAGGAACTGAGGGGTAGTTGGTCACACAGCACCAGTTAGCCACCTGAGGCAGCACGAGACGGGGACTGTGCACATGCGACCCAACCAGGCACTGCTACCACAAATCTCTGATTACAAGCGCAGGGGCGCTCAACACCTAAAGCGGAGCACTCACAGGGACATCATGCCAACACACTGATGCAGTATACTACTACTTTGTTCTAACATATTAAAATCTACCACTGGCAATATACTAACATGAAAGAAAATCACTCACTCCTTCAATAAGATCTTACCATCAAATTACCATATAAATAAAGTCCTGTGGCACCTTATAGACTAACACACGTATTGGAGCATGAGCTTTCATGGGTGAATACCCACTTCTTCGGATTCATGGGAGAAGTAGGTATTCACCCACGAAAGCTCATGCTCCAATACGTCTGTTAGTCTATAAGGTGCCACAGGACTCTTTGCTGCTTTTACAGATCCAGACTAACACGGCTACCCCTTTGATACATATAAATAAAGTGTCTTCTATTCTGGATCTTTTTCCATAAGTTTATGGAAAAGACAATGGCACTTGCCCCATTTTTGAACAGAAAAATACATAAAGGAATAATGATTTTCCACTTCAAGGCTGCAATCCTGCATATGGAAGTCCCACTGACTTCAGTCAGACTGCTCAAATGAGTAAAATTAAGCATATATGTTTTAGCAGAACCAGCCCTCATCTGTATTTAGTCTGACTTTCTGAAATACAAATTCTTGTAGATTTAGATTTATTCTGGTCTTGTATTAAATTATGTTTTGATTCTCCTGGATACCAGAATATTAAAATCAGCACTGCAGTTATTACAGTGGATCAAACTAATATAACTGAGAATAAAAAGGCTCTTGCATTTTTACCAAATACTTCACATTATTACTGGCTGTTAGTACCTCAATGATTAAAAAACATTAGCACTCTTGCAAATTACAGTCAGAGCATTTCTTAAATCTAATTCTGCCAAAAATTAAGAGACTAAAGAATAAATACTTTCGTAAGCACTAAGGACACAATCTATCATCCTTTATTTGTTCATGTCTCTGTACGCTATCCGAATAACTAAGAAAAACATTTTAATGCATTCTAAAAGTCAACATGTATTCCAGATAAAAATCAACACTGCCTCCAGCAATTCTAAACTCACAGGGAACCCAAAATTACGTTTTGGATAAAGCTTTCACGAGACACTCATTTAATCACAGAAAAGAGGGGAAAGTAGAAAAACTGAGTTATAGTAAATACTTTACTCTTCCATTCTTCAAAGTATTTCTTTAACACTGTCAAATTAGTTTGAAGACACTTTATTTCAAGAAGTCAGACGGAAAAGGAAAGCATCAGTTAATATAAAAAGTATCTACTTACTGTTCCAGAATTGATATACTTTTTCTTTTTTCCTTTTTTCTTTGGATTTATTACCTAGAAGGGCAGATAAATATTACAGATGCATCATTCATTATGCAGTTGACATAGTGAAAATTCTTAAGATCCTCTTAAGGTACAAAGTTGTATTCTTTAGGTATATGACACATTAATAGTTACACTTATGAACTGATATTCAGGAAGTCTTATCAGATACTTCACAATGACTCACAACAGGTCACTTGCAATTGGTAAGAGAAGACTACACTGTTGCTGTTGAACAGAGCCAGAAGAGCTTGCACATACTGTAACAAGATTTTTGACAAAAAATAGAAAAAAACCCTGCATTGTTTTGTGAATTTTTACTTCCATTTCTTGCCCAACTCTAGTACCCAGCATATTACTACAGTTTCAGTTTACCTTTTACATAAAGGGGACCTGCAAAGTCCAAATTTCCCACTCGTAGAAGCAATTTGCTTCTGCAAAAAGATGCAATTGTAATTCATGCTCCCTCAATGAATTGTACATGCAAATCTTAGTATTTTCAAGTTTACCTAATTATGAATGCCGAAGGACAGACATGTGACTACTAAAACTTGATGCCCACAGTGATTTGTACTCTCAGAAAATGTGGGCATGAACTGTTTGTCTAAGCAGGTAAGTTAGCCTTTAGCCCAGTTGAAAATTTACAGGGTTACTCCCTTGTTGCTACGGTAAGAACATGAAGGCATCCTAGAAGCATTTTTTAAGATTCTATTTTTCAGGCTTGAGCACCATGATTTACACTTTTGCAAAATCTTTTGAAGTTTCACAATGTGAATTTTCATAACAGAAAAAAAAATCTATTGATTGAAACTTGAGAAATTCAGATACATTAGAAAATGCTCTGTAACCAAGTAATACATGCAGTAATAGCCTTACTTCCAGAGTTCTTTTGATCTCACCCAGTCAGCTCACTCAGAAAAGCTACTGTTCATTTGTTAGGTGAATCTAGTGTTCAAGTAAGTGATAGCTTAATAGTACTGGTAGAACCAGTCACAGTAAAATGAGGAAGTATGTATACTATTCTACACACTTCTAAAAATGACTGTCAATTGGAGGACTATTAATAAGTCAAACTGTTGTCTTTCATGGATGTGAGCAAATGCTCAACAGGGACTTGCAACCTTCAAAGAATGGGTAAACTGGTTTGGTTAAAATAAGAATTAACACAAAATTATCACCCATGCATTAAAATAAACCAAGCAAATTTGTTTGCTTGAATAAAAATTTCAGGATTTGGCATAGTCTTTCCCTTGGTTTTATATAACAGAACCACCTAACTAGATCACAATATTTGTATAATGTGGCATAAAGCATAGGGCAGTGGTCCCCGACGTGGTGCCTGCAAGCGCCATGCCGCCCGCCGGGGCATCTATGTGCGCCCACGTACTGGCCGGCAGACAAGCATCCGCCGAAATGCCGCCGACAAGCAGCGTCATCCAGAGGCGTCGCCGACGGCGGCATTTTGGCGGCAACGCCTCTGGATGACGCTGCTTGTCGGCGGCATTTTGGCGGCGATGCCTATTGATGTTGCCGCTTCTCGGCGGCATTTCGGCAGGTGCTTGTCCGCCGGCCACGGTGGCTCGTTATCTGGTGCCCGCCAGACAAAAAAGGCTGGGGACCACTGGCATAGGTATATGCTGCAGTTATAGTTTGACATGTAGGAAACCAGAAGCAAATACCATCTATAAACTACATATTTAAAAAACTACATTTTAAAACAACATTAAGGTTGCAAAGTCAAGCACTCTAAGGTAGGAAATGCCAGAATTAAAGTTGCCTGTGTAAGCAATACGATACAGTCTTTACATTAATTTAGATCACATACAGTAACTAGATATTATATCATAATGCTCATTCAGCACTCAGGATGGATGGTACCTACAGAATGATCTGCTATTCAATAGTTCTTCTTATCCTCATAATTCAATCTGTGGGCCATGCCTTATTTACTGCACTCCATTCAACCCTGCTCCAAAATCATAGGTGTTAACTTCCTCAGTGGGCTTTTCTTTGGCACTCATCACAAATCTCTGAGTGCCTCCAAAATGTTAATGATTTTATCTTCACAAGACCCTTGCTATGTAAGGTAGTATTATCATTCACATTTTACAGATGGGGAACTGACGCAGAGACACATGAATGTCAAAAGTGTACAGTAATTTTGGGCACCCAATTTGAGATACCTTTGGTCTGATTTTTCATAGCATTTATAGTACTGTTTGTTCAGTGCACAGATCTGAGTGACTTCAGTTGCAGCTGAGAATTTCCACACTTATGCAAATCATGCCCCAGGTCTCACATTCCCCTACCCCACTATTCTCTTTGCCCCAGTCCTCTCCACTCCCATCCCAATGTCACAGTCTCCTGGCTCATCAACTCCAGGTCCAGCTCCTAGGTCTGTCCTTAGGGGTGGGCCCTATGGACGACTGCCCAGGGTGCTGTGGTCAGGGGGCACTCTGCAGAGTGTTGCAAACTTGCAGAGGAGACACAGGGGCTAAACAGCTGATCACGGCAGTCAGGAGGTACTGGGAGGGAGGGGGAGGAGCTGATTGACAGTGCCCACCAGCGGGCAGGAGGGCTGAGGGGGAGGAGCTGATCCACAGGGCTGCCGGTGGGTGCTGAGCACCCACTGGTTTTTTTTCTGTGGGGGCCACAGTGGAGCAGCATTCAAGAAGGAAAGCAAGCAGCAATGCCAGCTGCTCTGTGCATCCAGGTCAGCTGCCCCACATGGGCACAGGAGGGGAGTGCAGGGCTTAGGGGAGAAGTGGGCACAGGAGGAGAGTACAGGGGTTAGGGAGTGCAGAAGGTGGTTGAGAAGAAAGGGGCACAGTGCAAGGATTGGGGCTCAGGGAGTGCAGGGATTAGAGGAGAAGGGGCACAATGCAAGGATTGGGACGCAGGGAGTGCAGGGATTAGAGGAGAAGGGGCACAAGAGTGGTTAGGGGAGAGGGGTTATTCATTATTATTGTTATTGTGTATTTTACAAATATTTTCAGACATACGTCTCAGATTAAATGCCTGAAATCACACACTATTTTATCAGTGACTATCATCTCTCAGCTTCTCTGCACTGAATCCATCACCCCCTCTGTCTGCCTGGGGTCTCTCCTTCCCAAATATTTGATTCTGAAACCCTTACGGTGCAACGAGTCCTTACTCATACACTTAATCCCACTGAACTCATGAAGGATGCAGGATCTGTTCCCAGCTCCTGCTGTAGCTCAACAGCTCAGAGTTTGGAACAGCACTATATCTGTGTTGATTTGTCTGTAAACATTTTAATGTTTTGCTGCTGCCAGGAAGAATAAAGAACGATTCTATGTTCTACCATACAGTTTTTGTATCCTGAAGTAAAATCACCTATGCCAGACTCCGGTTGGCTATATATAGCACATATTGTGAGAGATAAAGCATGTTTTCTTGCTGATTCTGAGACAGACACTGCAGATGTATAATGTTGTTAAAGCCCGAATGTATGGGTTTGTACAGGAGGAATTTGCCTACAAATCACTTCCTAATAAAGATAATTTCTTCAGAATAAGCAGTGGAATCAACTTTTGCAATATTGACTAGCCTAATCAAATTATCATTTTTCTAGACTGTTTATTAGCAGACAATGTATGTCCAAGTCCAAAATTTATACCCCTTATGCTGTAGTTTTTGCACTTTATATATATTTTTAGTATTGCTTTTTATTTTTTAGCTAACGCAGAAGTTGCTAAGTGGTTGTTAAATTCTACACTTCTATAGTGTGTATGTGTATATATATATATATATATATATATATATAAAAACACACACACACACACACACACACACACTCACCTCTACCCCGATATAACGCTGTCCTCGGGAGCCAAAAAATCTTACCGCGTTATAGGTGAAACCGCATTATATCAAATTTGCTTTGATAAGCCGGAGCGCGCAGCAGGACCCCCCCCGGAGTGCTGCTTTACCGCGTTATATCCGAATTCATGTTATATCGGGTCGCACTAGATCAGGGTAGAGGTGTACTATACTATACTATACTGGAGAAGCAAACACTGTGTGTTCTGTATTCTTTTTGACTGGCTATTGTGAATATGTTTTTTAAGACTTAATCCTCGTGCAACTCCAATTCCACAGCTGTGGATAGTGGAAATTCCTGTAGTAGATGATGCAGTGTCCATCCTTTTTTACTGGACTGTGTGAAAGAGTGTATTTATGTTTTAGATTACTTACCTCCTACTTTAAAAAAAAAATATGAAAACAAAACAGGTCAAACAAGTTTTTACCTTGTTTGTTTGTTTGAAAATATTAACTCTGCAATAACAGACCAGCAAGAAGGAAAGCAAATCTATAAATGATCCTTTCTCACGGCATTCTATTAAACTAGCCGGATAGAGCAGATATAAAAGACAAGCTCGAAGAAGCAGCATCTTTTACAGAAAAATCTGTTGTTCTGTATAGTGTTTTGAAGTTGAATTCCTCCCCTCCCCCCATCATGTGATGTGACAGTACGACAAATTTCTTGTAATTTAGCGGTTCTCTGTTTTTTTGCTTTCAGAACTTGATGCCCTGAGAGCAGTGGCTGCTGGCCGGGCACCGAGCTCTGAAGGCAGTGCTGCCACCAGCAGCAGCATAAAGTAAGGTGGTAATACATCATATACCATTTCACCCTTACTTCTCAGCTGCTGCTGGCAGTGGCAATGCCTTCAGAGCTCAGAGCCCAGCCAACAGCTGCCACTCTCCGGACGCCCAGCCAGTGCTTAATTTTTGTTGGGGCTGAGCTCTGGCACCTCTTTCAATAAAAATTAAGCACTGGGGAGAGGCAGCGGGGTTCTGGGGTGGTGGGGAGTCCATAGGGGCCACGGGCAATGGGGGTGCCACACCAACAGGGACACCAAAATACAAGTTCGTCCACAGTGCTATTTTCCCTAAGGCTGACCCTGCTAGCTCCTTACCCTTCTGCATCCCTGGCAAGCTATTTCCTCCTCCTTCTCCATATTACCTGTTCAGCAGTGGGAGCACTG